TGATACTTTGCATTATGGCCAGAACCATGTTATCTACGATCACCTGAACCTTCGAACAATTTACAGAATTTTAGCAAGTCAGTACGACCCTATTGGGTTTCTTGGCCCCTACATTGCTCGAGCAAAGGTCATTGTACAAGACTTGTGGAAAGTCAGTAGAGACTGGGACACCACGATAGAGGATGGAGCTATAAGACGAAGATGGATTAAATGGGAAGAAGAACTTGAAGACCTACCCTTAGTATCTTTACCACGGTGTTACACACCAAGCAATACCAGACTGCTAGAATCCAGTCGACAACTGCACATTTTCTGTGACGCATCTGAGCGGATCTATGGCTCGGTAGCCTACCTGCGCACTGTTGATGAAAACTCTACCTATGTCAGTTTTGTAATGGCCAGATGTAGGGTGGCCCCGAAACGTCAACTATCCATGCCCAGATTAGAGCTGTCCGCAGCTTTAACAGGAGCTCAACTTTCTGACCTTATTAGGAAAGAGCTAACGATCCCGATCACTGCAACATATTACTGGAGTGACTCTACCACAGTTCTGCGGTGGCTGCAATCAGAATCTTGTAGGTTTAAAGTATTTGTTGGAACAAGAGTAAGTGAAATCCAGCAGTTAACGCATGATTGCGAATGGCGCTATATCAACACCACACTCAACCCTGCAGATGACATAACTCGTGGAATGTCACTCAAGGACCTATCAATTGATGGAAGATGGAGAGATGGACCTGCCTTCCTTAAACAACCTTGCAGTGAATGGCCTCAAGAAACAGCTCCAGAGAAGAAGGAGGAAGTGGCAGAGATAAGAGGTGGTGTGTTCTGTGGAGTCACCCAGGTACAAACTGAGCTTCAACCCGAAAGTTTCAGCCAGCTTGACGACCTTATTAAGGCCACCAGAGAGAGCCTCGATGGGGCGGCCCACTTGACTGAAAGCATTGCGCATATCCTCTGGAAAAGGGTGCAAATCGAGTGTTTCAGAGACGAAGTAACAACCCTTAAAGCTGGGAAACCCCTTCCTACAAGTAGCAGATTAACACAGTTAGATCCATTTTACAACACGACCACTGGACTGATAAGTGTGGGAGGAAGATTGAGGGAAGCTGAACTCCTGCCCGAACAAACAAAACATGCCATAATACTGGACCCTAAACACAGCATAACCAAACTGCTCATCAAAAGCTATGATCAAAGGTTATATCACCCTGGACCAGAAAGGGTGTTGGCCGAAATACGTCGCAAGTTTTGGATTCTCAGAGGACGAGAGGCCATTCGTGGTCAACAACGGCAATGTGCACATTGTCAGAAGTGGCGTGGTAATCCAAAAATCCCAAAGATAAGTGACCTACCCCAATCCCGTCTTAGGCTTTTCAAACCGGCATTCTATTCAACCGGAGTAGATTGTTTTGGTCCTATGATAGTAAAGATAGGAAGAAAGAGTGAGAAAAGGTGGGACATCATATATAAATGTATGACAACTCGTTCAATACACTTGGATCTACTAGAAAGTATGGACGTAGATTCCTTCTTGATGTCACTGCGCCGTTTTGTAGCCCGAAGGGGGAAACCATATGAAATCCTCTCCGACTGTGGCACTAATTTCAAAGGAGGAGATAAGGAGCTCAAGCAGGCATTCCATGCTATGAGTACAGAATTACAGATACAACTTGCAGACCAAAGAGTGTGTTTCAAGTTCAACCCACCATTAGCCCCCCACTTTGGGGGTACATGGGAGAGAGAGATTAAGAGTGTCAAAAATGCTCTCCGTGTTGCTCTGGGAGCTCAGAGCGTAACCGAAGCAGTACTGCGGACAGTATTGATTGAGGTGGAAGGGATCTTGAATTCCAAACCATTAGGTTATGTGTCATCGGACACCAGAGATGTGAATCCTATCACCCCGAACATCCTACTCATGGGTAGATACGATCCAGTATTATTACAGGTCATCTATCCAGAGACTGAATTGCTTGGACGTAAGAGATGGCGCCATAGCCAGGTGTTGTCCGATCATTTTTGGAAACACTTCATAACTTATTACCTACCCGGTCTTCAGACTAGACAGAAGTGGTATAAAGAATCAAAAAACTTAACAGTTGGCGATGTTGTGCTTATTGTAGATAAGCTATTACTTCGAGCACAATGGCTCGTTGGATCGGTGACAAAAGTGTTCCCTGGCCGGGACAGCAGAGTAAGAGCAGTTGATGTTTGTGTCCGTGGCACGATGTACCGACGACCGGTGGCAAAGCTTATCAAGTTGCCGGAAGAAAAGGATGAACCAGTGATCGCTGAATAGAACGTGCACGAATGTTAACTTAAAGGGGCTATTGAACTGATTTGTTATGTTTATAGGATTATTGTTGAATATTGTTAATCTGTTAGATTGTTAACTTTATAATTATAATACGCAAATTTACATGTAAATTTGGGGGCGGCTGTAAAATAGAGCAACTTGTGTAGCGCCCCCAATTGGGTATGGAAAGTTCGAAGTAGTAGATAATTAGCTAATTAGAGTTAAGCTTTGGCTTAAGCCGTTTAATTATCATGTTGAAGTTAAGACCTATATTACCGTAAGTAATGCTATGCATAAACGTGAACAGACGGGGAGATGCAAGTGCAGGTAGAGAGTCGACCTTTGACCTTTATAGGCCTAGGATGGCCCTACGAATATTTCATGTGTTTCATAGATTTATCGATGTGGGCTTTGTTAATTATTATCTTGTTATATGTTTAACTACAGAATAAAACCATTGTGAGATGGTTGAAACTGAACATAAAACCGACTACGTTTCAGTGGGGTTAGGGTGTGATACCCCCTCAATCAACCCATCGAAGTGAGAGTGGGACTGGAGGTCCGGTTTAATAGCCCCACCTTTTTATATTTTCACTCATTTTATACTGTTGGGGTGTGAATGTAAGTAACGATTTCTCGAAAACGGAGGATTGTTCCTGAAAATCCCTTGGTACGATAATGGCGTAATACCTCCTCAATCACCCCAACATAGTTAGAATGGGACTGGCGGTCAGGTTTGATAGCACCGCCTATATATAATTTTCACTCATTTTCATACTGTTCGGGTGTAAATGTAGGTAACGATTTCTCCAAAACGGCAGATTGTTCCTGAAAAAACCTTGTTACGATAATGGTGTGATACCTCCTCAATCACCCCAACACAGTTACAGTGGGACTGACGGTCTGGTTTAATAGCACCACCTTTTTATAACTTCACTCATTTTCATATTGTTTGGGTGTAAATGTAGATAACGAATTCTCAAAAAAAAAAGCAGATTGTTCCTGAAAATCACTTGTTAGGATTATGGTGTGATACCCCTTCAATCACCCCAACACAGTTAGAGTGAGACTGGCGGTCCAGTTTAATATCACCGCCTTTATATAATTATCACTCATTTCCATACTGTTCGGGTGTAAATGTAGGTAACGATTTCTCAAAAACGGCAGATTGTTCCTGAAAAAACCTTGTTATGATAATGGTGTGATACCTCCTCAATCACCCCAACACAGTTACAGTTACAGTGTTTTAACAGTGTAATGCATTGATCATTATGTAGAATTTCCAGTAATTCAAATATTATGGACAAGGTACATTATGATGTAATATAATGTAATTTATTTATTTATTTACATACTTACATAATCATGAATATTTAATGAATATCAATGAATTGTTCCGAAAACCGCATCACGATGCGGTATGACGTTAAAGTATGGCACAGGAGGAAAAAAACAAATTTTTCTGATATTAGGTACAGTATTGAATAATCATATTTAAAAAAAATATAGTACATACATACCTACAATTCTAGTAGACTACGAGTCGTTATTATTTGCTATTCTACTGCAAGATAATAATGTGCAATTTGTTTTACATTTGCGTTTTACTGATGAAACATATATTAAAATGATGCTTGTGCATTCTACAATAAGTTGTTTTTTTTTAAATATAATTTGACCATTGACAAGGATCGAACATGACTTTTGAAGGTTGACATATTTTAATAATTGTCCTTACCTGAATTTTTTATTTTTTGTGGCATTTGTCCATGTAGTAAAAATAACATATTTTTCATTATAATTATGAAAATTATATTATAGTTATGAAAAATAAAAATATTTATTTTGATAGAGTATTGTTGACAATATCACACAAACTAATTGTTCTTCATATTTTGAAATTTAATATCGTTATCATTATTTTGTCACGGACCGAAGTAATTCTTTTAAAAAGTAAAGTATTTTTGCACCTAAAAAGTGTTCCTAGGCTGGAGGAAATGCACTATTTAGATTTCCATACTATTTCTATTATTATAAATGTAAAAATTTGTATTTAAACCCAATTGACCACATACTATGTAATTCCCATAATAATTATTATGGTTGTATAGTATCCTGACAATTCTCATTGAGTGAAGCTTGCGGTTTTGGTATTCTTCCATTTTGGTCATTATTAGGCAGTTTTATATCATATTTTAAAGCATATTTTTAATCAAATCAACATATTGGTAATCATTGACTTCAAACTTTAACAGATTTTTGGAGGTGTTTCTCGTCGGGGTGATTGTCGTCGTCGTCGTCGCCAAGGGATTCCTGCTGGCAAAGAAGAAGAGGAAAAATGTTGATTATGAACAAATGAAGATGGTCTTCGCCAGGCATATTTTCCCGACTACTAATACAACCAGTGAGATTGCCTGCTCAGTATGGGGTACTATTTCGAAAGAAATGAAGTGGTTCAATACTATTAGTAACAGAAAGTATTTGAAAGTTATATGGAGAACAAACAGAGGAGGGATACGGGAATATACAGAAAATGTTTGGGCCTCCCAAAGGAGAAAGTCGAACGTTGGAAGCAATGCAAGACGGGCAGGATGCCAAATTAGCCCAACCAGAACTTGAAGCTGAGCCACAAGCCACTACAGTGCCATGGAGAAGTAAAAGAAACGTAAAACCCAAGAGGTTTTCGAAAGGTTGGGAAACTTACACCTACTGCATTTGCCAACAGGCTTGGAAGGGGGGTGCCATTCGTCCGGCTGTCCAGTGTGAAAAGAGCTTCGAATGGTATCATTACGATTGCATAGACATTATGACCTACATTGATGTGGATATGGCACGTTACCGATTCTGCTGTGGGGGTAGAGGGTGTAATGACGGTAAAACAGTTCTGGAATTGTAAAAGAACACATTGACCCTCAAACAAACAAAACCAGCTGAAAACGATCATGGAAACCACCAGATCATTAACATCCAGTTCGATCATGATGGGGAAAATATGGGTGTAGCAGATGCTGACGACAATACATCTTTGGCATCATTAGAAAACAACAGCAAATTTCCGACTGGATATCACACAGGTGTTCATGATGTTGGTTCCAGTATTGACGAACAACGTCCAGATAGACAACCTGTTGGATTGTTTGAAAAGGAAACCGATCATGAAGACGATGTCCACCACATCCGTAATTTGGATTTTGACCTTGATGATGAAGACGTGTGTCAGTCAAATACACCTTCAGAATCATCAGACGAAAAAAGCATATTTTCGACTGGACCTCACACAATTGTCGATGATGTGGGTTTAACAAATGATGAACAACGCAGATAGACAACCATGCGCAAGTGCTGGATGGTATGAAAAAGAAAGCGATCATGAAGACGATGAGCACCACAGCCGTAACGTAGATTTTGACCTTGCTGAAGAGGATGTGTGTCTTTAAAATGTTGAGGACAATACAACTATCGGATCATCAGACGAAAACAGCATATTTTCTACGGATGTGGATTCCAGCAGTGACAAACGATATTCAAATAGACATCGTGCCACAAGCGCTGGATTGTATCCACACATTGGCGATTATGATCTTGGCAAAGGTGCAGCCATTGCTTCCAGTCAAGGAAGCGAAAGTATGGCCTCGTTTATGCAGAAAGTACCCATTGACAAAGCCACCATAGGCGCTTGCATTGGAGAAGATATTGGAGAAAATATAATCAAAAGGTTTGATATTCAAAGAACTGCAACCTTCTCAATAAGAAAAGAACGATGGAACGAAATGTGCAAACATTTGCGAGGGAGGTATTTTCAGGAAGGGCAGTGGCATGAACCTTTCATAAAAGGGATGAAATTATCAAATCCGTATTGCGTGTTGATGATAAGACGTCACCGTGTAAGTTTGTCTAAACAGCGATTGAGAGGACGTAAAGCACTGTTTACAGCAGACCTGTACTGCAAGTTCAAAGATTGGCCCATTACTGCCAAACTGACAATCAATGGAAATTTTAGGGCAACTGTAAAATATTACTGTTGTAATGCACCACCTAAAAGAACAGCATGCCAGACCTATAAAGGGAACAAAGAGGGAAAAGCTGAAAGAAATCTTCCCCCATGGCGAAAAGCCTTTGAATGAATACTTAAGACGACTTGGGCAAAAAGATGCTGCTCACGTTGTTTTGGCTGGTAATTTCGATGACCTTGGTACAAACAAGCAAGTACTCCGGCAAGTGTCATATGAAGCAGGTACATCGTGTATTCTCGACAGCGATGAGCTAACGAGTCTGCATCAATTGAAAAAAAATATGGAGAATGACACAGGGAACAAAAAAGTAAAGGGCTTTATACAGCTCATAGCTACATCACCAACTTTCGTATTTTACTGGAGCGAGGAAGGTGTTCGGTTATGGCACGATCTTTCCCAGAAAGATGCGGCGGTAATTGATGCAACAGGCAACGTTGCTCGCTTGTCGAAGGAAAAGAAGAAGTTCCTTTACTACGAACTGTGCATGAAGAACCCCATACAAGGTGAATCGCCGATACCAATCATGGGTATGCTCAGTACCGTCCATTCGGCCACTGTCATACGCTTTTGGATATCGGAATTTAGAAGATGTGAAAAGCTTCTGTTCGGACACCAAAGAGTTTCTATCCCCCGCCAAATCAATAATATGGATAGAGCGATGGCTTTTATAATGGCAATTCTGGCAGAATTCAACGAGTCTGTGAAGGAATTCTTAGATCGCTGCTGGCGGATTGTAACAGGGAATGCCTTGGATAACGATATTCAACACAAAACGATCCCTCACGCGTGTACCGCTCATGTAATGAAAGATGTGAAGAAATCATGCAAGACGTACTATGCAGGAAATATGGAGTATGGGTTGTACTGCTTCAGTACTATTCTAAATGCAGATACCCTACAGGAGGCTGAGCAAGCCCTTTTTGACATGGCTGTTGTATTGCAAGGTACAAAATTAACAACAGAAGTGCAGCAGGCAAGTGACAGAATGCACAATAGATTCAATGCTCTCTCGAAGGAAAAACTGAAGGAGGTGTCGGATGACGTGAACGAATCAACTGAAGACGCTGTGGTGGGTGAAACAACTACCACGATCAACAAAACTGAAGAGGAATTTCTTTATCTTGCCGAAGGTACTTGCTTCACAAGATGGGCTAAGAGAACTATTGAGCGTGCCAAACAGACTATTGCACAAGGTGACAGCACAGTGGAGAACAATGGGAGGTATGGCCCAATGTTTTTGTCTAATATACAAAAACTTCTGCTGTCTACATTGCCGCTTTGGTCTGGCATCATGCTTGCAAACATTAAGAGACACGGAACGTCGGCTCCATACCACAGATACACATTCACAGAAGGAATAAGGGCAACTAGCAAAACAACTAGCGTACAGGAGGTGAGGTTCAACCAGCTGTAGACGTTAATTCTTCGACGAAATTCTCGGAATCGAGTTGATGTGTTCTCCGAGATGTTGAGAGAGACAACAAAAGCGTTGCAGACGCTTGCTCTGAAAGACGCTCTTTAAAAAAAGACAAAGAGAGCCAGGGGAAAGAGGACCATCTCGTTGAGGAGACTTGGGACAAAAAGCAACGCGAAGCATCCCAAATGCAAAACAAGAATCATGGAAAATACCAACAAAAACCAATGAAGCCAATCCCAGTTACCAAACCTGTCAAGAGAAAGTCAAGTAACAGAAGTGATGAGGATAAAGACGATATATCGCCAAGAAAGAGAAAGGTATGTGTTGTTTTGTTATATAAAGCGGAGCGTTATGTATTTGACTAACACTAGTAAACTATCTTTTATGTATTCACTAATAATTTAGTAATCATTTTAACTTTATGATTTTCAACCTGCACCAGATGAATGGCCCATGAATTGTGTTGTTTGACTGAGTGTTATGAAGAAACTGGTTCAGAATGAACGAACCCATGTCAAGTAACAGAAGTGATGAGGATGAAGACGATATATCTCCAAGAAAGAGAAAGGTATGTTTTGTTATATAAAGCGGAGCGTTGTGTATTTGACTAACACTAGTAAACTATCTTTTATGTATTCACTAATAATTTAGTAATAATTTTAACTTGATGATTTTCAACCTACATACAACTGTTCTGATAATTTATCTTTTCGTAGTCGGTTAAGTCAAAGCTACAGGAAAGAGGCCGTCCTCGTCGAGGAGAATTGCAACAAGACGGGACACGAACAATTGCAAATGCAAGACCAAAAGCATGGACAGCATCAACAATCCCCAACGAAGCCAATCCCAGTTACCAAACCGTCAAGCGAAAGTCAAGTAACAGAAGTGATGAGGATGAAGCCGATGTATCCCCACAAAAAAGAGAGGTATGTATTGTATTGCTATATAAACCGGAGTGGTATATATTTGATTAATGTAGTTCTTTCTTGTACGGTGAAATATCTGAAATGCATTCAGTACAGTGCAGTTGGATTTGGATTGGAATTTGGTTTGTAACCCACTAAGGATAACCCACATTTTTAGAAAAAAATACATTAAATTTTCAAATTTGAAACATGCGAAGAGTGCCATTTCCGGATATCTAGGGGTGCCATAATCAAATCATGGTGTGGCGAGGTGGTAATAAACCCTATATCTGTCAAAGTCCCACCCCGAGTCCGGTCTATTTCAAATTCTTGGATCTGTCACTGGCAAACTAGTTTCATAACTTGTTTAATTCCAATACCATTTGTTGTTTTTTTAGTATAAGACGTCTACACAAGCTTCAGAAACGTGGATTGGAAAAGCGTCCCAGAGAGGAACCAAAAAGACTGAGAAAACATGTCCAGAGCGTACAACATGTAGCGTTGGCATGGAAACTAATAATATCATTCCAGACTTACAAGACTTCAAATCATATACGGACCCCCAAGATACCAAAGTTGATCAATCGTCAACACAACAACGGCAGACCTGTTATGCCATTCGGCGGTTTCGCCCCCTGACAAATTTACACAACAACTGCTGGTTCAATGCGAACATACAAGCATTGATTTCGACAAATGCAGCTGTTGATGCCCTATTGGAAGTCCCTGATGATGAATGGGCAAATCACAAAGACATGGAAATCAGCCGTTTTCTGAGAAGATACAAGAAAAACAAAGTCCTCAAAAAAAAAAAGCACACACGATCATTGCTGCAGGTACTGTCTTCACGTAAGGAGGGGTCACTCATATATGGGCAGCAAAATGATGCACATGAGTTCATCTCCTTGCACTTGGGGCCTATGAAGTCAAATATTGGAATGAACACGATTGGAGTGGAGCAGTGTGTACTTTGCACGACTTGCAATGAAAGAACACAAATAAGGAGACATGAATTCACAGAGATAATTGTTCCTGTACTGAGTAATGCAGATAAAATTAGTTTGCAGAGGGAAGTGGACAAAATGACGAAGGAACCAGACCTCATAGAACGCAGAGATCCATGTGAAAAGTGTAGGAATTTTTCACAACTTTCAACTCAGAAGAAGTTAAAGACAGTTCCTCAGTGTTTAATTATTGTTATGCAGAGAAACAAAAGCCAAGGAAAGATGTTGGCATCGGTGGAACCCTCAGACAAGATATTCATGACCTATTTAAGGGGGACAGAAAATGATGAAGTGATGAGCATTTACCAGTTAAGGTCGGTAATTGTCCACAAGGGAGACACATGTGATGTTGGACACTATGTTACAATGGTTAGGAAATCCACTGCAAAGAATGGTTGGATACTTTGTGATGACCACATCATAGAAAATGCACGGCCCCAGGACATAGCTGCAGTCTATGATCAAAGCTACATAATCATGTATGATAACACCACTCCAATACAACAAGAAATATCACAACGCGTTACAAGTGACTCTACCAGCCATGGAACACCAAATTCGGAAAATGGAGCTGAGAAGAGAAGCCCACTGAAGAATGTAGCGAGCAGTCCTTAAAGACCAAGACTTGTGATGATATTGTGACAGATGGCACACAACCTACAGTCGTGAGTGAAAGTGATGACATAGAAAAAAAATGTGGTGGTACAAATGTCATCATAGAGACAATTAGAATGAACTGCCAAAGGAAACCAAATGATGTTATGAGACAGGTAAATAAAATTTGCATACGGTACAGGGATATAAAAACACTGTTCGACGACAACTGGTTGAATGATGTAGTCATCAATGGCTATCTGGAGCTGATACATATGAGGTCTAGGATGAACGACGACCTGCCAAAGGTTTACAATTTTAAATCACAATGGTACCAAAAAGTCACAGGGACAGGAGATACGTCCCTTCTCAGATGGACGAGGAACACAGATCTCGGAGCATACGAATGGTTACTGTTCCCAGTGAACAATGGTGTTTACTGGTTCCTTGTTGGCATCAACCCGAAGAACAAGACTGTAACTACATTTGATTCAATGCACGGTGAAAATATGAGAGAAATGGAACTTGCAGTGAAAGTTGTGCAGGACGATTGGCGAAAAAAAATCAGTATCCCGTTCACTTGCAAAATAAAGAAGGACTGCGGAGTGTATTTAAGTTACTTTGTGTATTACCTCGGTATGAACAAGGTTGTGGAGGAAATACCGGATATAGACACAAAGCAGTACAGGCATTCAATGATATTAGACCTATATAGAGGTTCAGTCACCAACTAGATGCGACATACATAAAAATTAATTTTTACGTTTACATTTTTAACAGGTTGGCTGCCATACCCTTTTTTAAGGTTCTTTCCCTTGCGCCAAAACAAGTTCACATGTACCAACATACTTTTTTTTAAATGTCTAATAATTTGTCTGGAAAATATTAGGGGACGAGTAAACTCACCGGTGGCACTGTTATAGCACTTTCTATTGATTAAGCCAATTCTACGCTCTGCGGCGAAGGGCCTAGCACCGACCGCCACACACAATTGAAAGACACATTTTAATATCTCTAGCCGCCGTTCGTTATTAATTATTTCTCAAATTCAATAACGTCACGTAGTAGTTATAATAATATATTTTTATACATTCCTTGTTCGCGAACGATTCGGTTGAGTTTAGACCTCAAAAAAAATTATTGAACTTTTTAAACTCGATATACTAAATCAATAAATGAATGGATTTTCTCCGAACACAGATGACAACAAAGCTTAAGATCGGATCTCTCAGAAAACGATCACCTGGGAGCGTTAGGACCAATCATAATGTATGGATTCTGCTTTTTTCAAAACGTCATGCATAGGACGTTGTTTAAAAAGGTCGTAATTCACGCGGTGCCGAATGAGCGTTGTATACTAACACACGGAGTTAGTGGGAAGTGGGAACTGGAATGAAACGAAGGTGCGTCACTTATTGTACGATAACGGGAAAACTATACAATATTTTTGAATGCCGTTTTAATATTTAGAGATGAGATATGTGAAATACAGGATCCGAAATTATAATGAATTACGTTCAGTAGTTTTTAAATTATTATAGTTCAAAAATTGACTTTACATTTTTATGGCATGGTGACCTCAGCGTGCGGGATTTCGTTCACTGATAAAGTGATTAGCGATTAAAGTGCCTAATATCAGTAAAAAGTTTACGTCCCCATGGTTACGTTCGCTGTTAATCAGGCCTGTAGCAGCCTTCTACTGGATTGAAAGGCCAAAGCATACCCCATTTGTACAACGCACAACCAAAAAGCAAACATGGAATGGAAACCATAGCAGTAAATAATCATATGGTAGCCTAGTTTACCGAACAAGCCAATCGGTTTTTCTCGGCAGTAGCGCGTTTACGCTCCTGAAATAGAATAGGCGGCGTACAAGTATCAAACTAATTAGGTGACTGACCATGTGTCTGATTCTCATAATGGAGTATCGTGCCAACGTGGTGGGAACCTACTTGCGGAACGTTTCTTACTCAAGTGTTACTAGGCAACTTAACAGTACTGGGAAATTTAGTATTGTTTCCTATTTCGGGATGGATCTGGTTTATTAATTTTAATTTCTTAATCGTTAAATATTTCACTGACTTGGTCGGAACTGAGCCAACAATGGTTTCACTCTACCGTACTGTACACACGTTAGTCTATTATCCGATAGAAGCTGCAAAAGGATTACTGTATCCAGTGAGGTAACAATTTTGTTTTGTTTTTTTCAAACCACAACACTTCCATACACAACACAATTCTATTCTGTCTGCTGTAGAACCTTATCCAAACTGCAGTAGTATAAAATTGAGGTTTTTGGAGTGCAGATAAAGTTTTATATCCATACCAGCCAGGAAAGTCCCTGGAGTCCGATCCACCACATTTAAGACAGTTAGTTTGGACTACGAAAGTACACAACATTCCATAAATGTTTTCCTCTTATCATACAGTTTACTAGTCTTTTCAAGAGTAGGGGGATATTGTCTCTCATTAGTATGGCTTTAATATTTGTCAAAATAGAGAACTATGAAATAGGGCACAACAAAAGATCCAGATTAGCTTGGGTACGGACGCACAAAACAAAGAGATGTCTGGAAAGTCACGTTTGCCTGTTTACAAAAAACTGCGTAACATACTAGTAACGTACATACTACATACACACGAGCAGGATTTTAAAAGTTCCTATGCTTGCAAGCATAGGAACCAAAAAGGTGGGGCTATTAGGTCCCACTCTAAACTCGATAGGGTGAATGAGGGGTGTCACTCCAAAATCTTACCACTTGCTTTTCAGAAACAATCTGCTGTTTTCGAGAAATCGTTACCTACATTTATCCCCACCCTCCTCCTTCCCTACCAGTGTGAAAATGAGTGAAAAATAATAAAAAGGTGGGGAAATTTAACGGGATCTCTGGTTCCCTCTAATCTAGGTCCTCATCAAGTGATTTTCACGAACAATCTGCCATTTTCAAGCAATAATTATCTACATTTACACCCCTTGCGCATACCAGTAGGCCAGGTAAAATGAGTGAAAAGGTGGGTGAGCTCCGGTCCCTCGATAATGAGGGGAAAACACCATAGGCCTAAGTGATTTTTAGGAACTATCTGTCGTTTTCGAACAATATTGTTCACAACTCCCCTCCGATTGTCCGGACCCCTCGCCATCCACTAATTTTTATACTAAAATGTTACCCATCCACCCACCTCCACGGGTTCTATTTCCAGCTCAGCAGTGGTCAATATTAGATTGAAGAATATGTGCTGTTCTTAAAAAAAACGTCGCAAATTTCGCGTACCCACCGCTGCGAACCCACGGTGAAGTAAATGATGGAACTGCAGTCCAACGCGATCGTATCTTATCTTGATTCTTGGCTGGAATTGTGGGCTGGCTTGTTGTTGGCTGGCTTATTGTTGGCTAACTTGACTCAAGCCAGTCCAAACAACTGGCTCATAACCGGAACAGGAAATCCAGGATGACCTTATTCATGAGAAATTTTTGCATATAAACCCAAAGCAATCGTGTTCAGCAAATATTTTTACCACTGTTTTTATCGCCTACATCGTTATTAATTATCAGAAACACACGAAATTACCAGCGGTTTAACTTCACACCAGACAGCACCTACCTACATGTAAAATTTCAGCTTCCTACAAGTATTTTTACTACTAGTTTTTGTGTTTACAAAGTCAGCGTGACCCCGGCGACCTCACACTGTAGTAGAGTAAAACCAATTTGGAGGAATGAGGTAATGCAACAAAAAATAACTTTAAGATTACAAATCAATTATTTTTGGGGTTAATTTTCATAAACCATATTTGTTGTTAAACCTATACATTATAATTATCAAAAATGATTTTTGGGAGTCGTTTTGGAAAGTTTTTAGCTAGCTTTCAATACTTCAAAATTTAGCTTAAATTTAATTTCATGTTGAAAGTAATATTGCCATGGAGAGAAATACTATGAATACGTTTACTGCTAAATGGAGTAAAATAGTTGATTTTATCTGAATTGTCCTGGGGTTTATTTAATCATTTACTGGTATAAAAAATAAAAACAAAGAGGTAATTGTAAAATTTAGGTTTAAAAGAATGTTGTAAATTTATGTGGTTTGTTTTAAGTGTATTTTGAATAATTGATATTTGTTGATTCTGTAAAAGGTACAGTGAAAAAACCAGAGCCTTGCAGGCGTCAACGTTCCTATGCATGATACATGACTTAAAAAGTATATAGGCCCTATATATATATATATACGTGTATATATATATACGTACATATATATACACATATATACGTGTATATATACGTATACACGTATATATATATGTATATACGCGCGCGTGTACATATATACGCGTGTACATACATACGCATGTGTATATATATTACGCATGTATATTATACGTATATATATACGTATATATATAATATTATGTATATATATACGTGTATATATATACGTATACATGTATATATATGTATACGTGTATATATATACGTGTATATATATACGTATATATATAAATAATATATATATAAATAAAATATATAAATATAAATAAATAAATATACATACAATATATATACATATATATATATGTAAATAATATATTTGTGTGGAGGTTGAAAAATACAGTGGGAGTCTTTATGGCCCAAAATAGTGATTTTAGTAATGTAATTCGACAGGCAAATTACAGTAATATTTTTAGCAAATTTCTTTGAAAAAATTTCGTAGGTATAGGGCCTAGGCCTAGCTAAGTATACAATAATTTCATTTTACAGTAGTTTGGAACTATATCAAGGGTGGGGGTGGTGGCAGTGGCCTACTAGGACTACAATTTATTTGAAGCTATCTTGGGTCCGATCGTCCACACCAGTTGGGCCCAATGATCTGTCACCCGAAGTTTTGTAGGCTAGGCTTAGATTGCTGCCGTCACTCTGCTACGTATACTACTACCACATAACAAAGAAAGTGACCCACGCGGTGCATGCTTAAATTGTACGCACATTATTAAAATGTATTATTAGACGATAACACGATATCACTGACTGAACGATCTACCACC